TAAACAAGATACTTATTTTGCTTTTCCCAGTTTTTTCTCTTTTCTTTCTTAAAGAAGCCTATGTCATCTGAGGGCTATGCAAAGCTTTCTTTATGATCTGCATTTCTTTAATGGGTCTAAATGCACATTTAATGAGTTAAACAGGCAAAGACCCTGAAAATCTAAGATGTCTTTAACAACTTAAACAATTTTGTCTGTGAGATTGCTGTGACAAATTTTCCTCATGATCATATTTAAACTATTGTTCATTGTTATCTCCCAAGTTACTAATTTAAAAGTAATCACCCCAAACTATGATTTTTGTTATTTTCAGTTCCTTGATGAGATTTTTAAAAATTTCCAAAATGCAATTGTACTTCAGTATATGTTGATAATACTAGTTCAGATGTGACTGAAAATCTACTCCCATTTAAATAAAATCTTATCTACTTTTACATATATATAAGGGAGTATTTTAGACAAAAAAAAAAAAAATACTAATGTTTTCATTTTAAACACAATCTGGAGAATTTTTACCAAGAATACTAAGAAATTTTAAGGAAACATAAACTTTGTTTTCTTACCTGGTCCAGTATCTGTCCTGACATCATCCACACCAACACTTTTACAGAGTGTCACTGAAACGATCTTGTTTTCTGATGGACCTATTGGACTCTCCTTCAGCAATGAAGGAATGCTACAAGGTGAAGTGCTCACTGTTTGACTTTCAGTTTGATTTACTTTTGACCAAGGACTGGGGTCTAAAACATTCACATATACTGGAGTTTTCTCAGTTTTTTTATCTGAAGTTGAAAGATCAAAGGCTGACCTTCCACTTCTGTTTACTAAATCTCCAGATGGCTTTATGTGAAATGAACATGATTTTTCCAGCTGTCCATCACTGTAAATTTTTCCTGAAACGGTGTCATTTAATGATTCCGTTTTCTCTGTATTATTTAACAATGTATGTTGTCTTTCATTAATATCCACAAAAAGGAAGCCATCATTTCTCGTGGCTTCAGTTATCTGATTCCCATCAATCTGACTCTCTCTATTGGAAAACTGTATTTCGGTAGAAGTTGTTGTATGAACAGCAGTTTTCATATCTCTGGCTTGTGAAGCATGTATATTCTCATTGTTGACCTGAAGATAGGAAATGTTCACAGTGTTTTCTAAATATCTCAAACAATTCTTAAATTGACTCTCTTGTGTATCATCCAGATTTTTACATATGGCTCTTTTCTCAGGGCCTAAATTGGGTTTCACCATCATAGGCATAATACTAACATTTTTATCTGAATTCTTAAGAAGTACTTCCAAATTATCACTGAAAACAGCAGATGAAATAGGATGGTTGGTTGCTGTGTCACAAGGACTATTTAGTTCAGGTTTCTCTGAAGTATCATTACAGACTTGCTGAACATCTGAAATTTGTTTAAACGGCAATGTGCTACACTCACTTTTTTTATTTAACAGTTGTATTTGTTTTATTTTACATTGTTTATCATCCAAGATAACATTACTAGAATCATGTAAATTGTATTTCTGACACTGAACAGGATTCTTTTTTACATCTAGAAATGAATCCAAAACTCCTAGTTTGGTTTGGTCACTATTTGTAATTTCCTTCTCTGTGGCATTTTCTTGAGTCCCTGGAAGCAATCTGAATTGTTTGAATGGTTCGTTTTTAGAGGTATCTTTTATATGATTTGTATTGTGAGCCATCTCATTTAAGATACTGTTAAATAATGTTCTGTTATTTTCAACCTCCAGATGTACATCTGCAGAGTGAAGATCTAATCCTTTAGTTATTTCTAGGTGTATCTTCTCTGTTTCTCTTGATATATCTGCCACTAAAAAAGAATTATTTGTTGATTTAAATTCTGTACGTCCACTGTCTTTTTCCAAGCCCACCGCGTCTTTTATTTCTGTAGTAACTGCTTTTCTGAAGTCAGTAGGATTCAAGGTTTGCCCTTGACTAATTAATTCTTCTATGCAGAGGGTTTTGCTTAGGGAGATTTCACTTTGATTTCCATCCTGAGGTACAGTAGTATCAATTTTATTCTTTGATATTTTTTCAGAAAGCTGTAAATCTGTCATAATGAGAACACAGTAAACTTTTATTTATACACTAAAGCCTGCTTTTATAAGACATTTGTATCACCTTATTTTTATAAAAACATTTAACCTTAAACATTTCATTGGCCAATTATTACACAAACATAATAACACCAATTTTACCTAAATACTGAGTTCCCTTTTTCATAAGCATATATTTACCGTGCTAAAATATTTGGCTCTACCCATATTAAATGTTTATTTCATAAAAGCAAACATAGTTCTTGGTTTAAAATGAGAGATAGGTTGAGGGTATTACAAAACGTTTGTTATTTCTCTAGTGTTTCCTATTGGGCATAATAGTAAAATTCCAGATAAACACATAGCTGAAAAAATCAATTTATCCTAACAGGTAACATATTCTTAATTTTTATTACTACTTAGATCCAGAAATTACTAGCTGATTTCTTTAAGACTAACAATTATCGCTTTTTTATTCACTACCCCGTGGATATTTTTGAATTCTGGAATACTTTTGGACAACTGTACAGAATATCTACTTAAGACATTAATTTTATTTATCTGGGTTTCAACCATAGATTTCAAAGTTTCAGTATGGTTACAATAATCTAGAATACAAAGTTCAGGGCTTGCAAGGCTTTTTTTAGTCCAATCATTCATTCTCTCTACAACATCTCCACCAAGTGGTTGTTCAGTCTAGGTTTGAACACCTTCAAACAATCAGTACTGCCGTTAAACAACTCTTTCAAGATGTAAGAGAGCCATATGTAAATTAGTAAATTATTTCAACGGTTACAGAAAGGTCATCTGAACTAAGAAAAGTGCCCTAGATTTGGTCATCAGAAGGTTATCGGTGGCCCACAGAACATTCTCAGCAAAGCAGTGAAGGCAGAAACTAGAATGTGAAAAGCAAAGGTGTAAGTGATGAGAATGGAAGGCAGAAATGTATTTCTTTTTGCAAAAATACTGACTGTAAAGAATAGCTCAAAAGAAGCCTGTTTTTTTAAAGATATATACAAATTAAAATGTGTTTCTCAAACTACACTACAAGGTCCTTGAAGTAAAGACTGTAGCTGCTATTCCCTTAAAAAGCTCAATGTACAAATTAGAAAATACCAATATAATCTTAGGTTACCTTCTATAATGATTTCTTCTATAAGTGGGCCTTCTTTCTTTTCCTCCTGTTTTCTGTACTCAGTATCTAAACAAAAACTCCCAGTACTTTCTTCTCTTATTTCTTGCCCAGAATTACATTTCTGTATGATGCTGTTTTGTAATTTTCCCACTGACATCTCACTGTGTTCAGTATCTACTTCTGGAAGATTCTAGTGTAAAATAGAAAAGATTCTATTCTAATATAAAAACATTAAAAAGTATAAAACATTTAAACAAATTGTGCTGATAAAAGTGGACTCTTGTTTCCATTCAACCATTCGACAATTTCTATTTGAAAGCCAAATGATATTTTTAACTAAATTTAATATACTTTTCAAACACGATCACTTTAAATTCATTTTGTATATCATATTTAAGCAAAATGGAGACCTTTAGATATTTTCAAACATGCATTCCACATTATTATATAATAGCATACATATGTAATAACCACTCCTTCATTAAAAGCAATGTAGTAATGGCAGGCAAATTGTTTTGAATGTTTGGTATTTTTGTGTATCTTTAAAATAGTTAATCAGTTCAACATCCTTTTATTCCCCCTGTATATCGAGCACATATTCCATGGAAGCACTGCACTAGGCTTTAAGATCAGTGATGAACAAAAAAAATACAGTCCCTAGCCTGAAAAACTTACAGTCCAGTGGGGAAGACAGGAAAAGAAATAACAGGCAACTTTAAAGGGGATAAGGAGGCACTCCAAGGAGGAAAAATGGCACATGCAGGTGCTTAAAAGCAAGCAAAATTAGTCTTTTCATGAAACTACTTGTGGTTTACTTCAGCTAGAGCTAGATGCTAGAAGAATAGTGAGAAATGAGGCTTGAAATAAGCTAGGCCCAGGTCATCAAGGTCCGAATAGCATGCTAAGGAGCTCCAACGCTACCAGGAAGTCAATAAGTCAGTCAAGGGTTTTAGACAAAGTGATTAACGTGAGTTGATGATTAAAGACTTAAATGTAAGACCTGAAACCATAAAACTCCTAGAAGAAAACATAGGTAGTAAACTAGCAAAAATAAACAATGGGACTAAAACTAAAAAGCTATAGGAAAACATCAACAAAACAAAAAGACATCCTCCTGAATACGTTAGCAAATGGTATATCCAATAAGAGTTGATATCCAAAATATATGAGGAATTCATGCAACTCAACAACAAAAAAATAAACCTGATCAAAAAATGGGCAGAAGCCACGAAGAGACATTTCTCCACACTGGACATACATAAAGATGGTCAACAGACATGAAACGTTGTAATCAGGGAAATGCAAATCAAATACCACCTCACATTAGTCAGAATGGCTATTATCAAAAAGTCAGCAAAAACATGTTGGTGAGGATGTGGAGAAAAGGGGACCCTTGTCCCAATTTCTTTAGCAGACTACCCCCAACATACTTAAATTTTACCTGAAACTTCTTGTCTTCCTCAAACTTTTTCTGATCACATAATTCATTGTAATGTTCTTGTAACTTGATATGAGTTTCTTTAAGTGATGACAACTCATTTTTAATCTCATGAATTTCTCCATTAAGTTCTTCAACCTAATATAAAATATAATCAAAATGAGTACTTATATGTGTCTTATATGAAAACACATTTTGGGAAACAGTAAAAAACGAAAACAATCTTAAAGTAATTACTAATATTAAAAGGTACCATTTGTTGAACTGTGCTGAGTACTTAATTTCATACTCAAATATCCTATGAAGTATATTCAGTCTCCAATTTACAGATGAGAAATGTGAGGCTCCCAGACATTTAGTAACTTGACCAAGATCAGGTGGATACAAAGTGGTTATCAAATGCAAAACTAAATCTAGGGGCTGTGTTCTTAACTATTACATTAAATTACCTCTTGTTACAAATGAAAATTATTTTTAACCATAAAAATTCTGTAAGTTATACCTCACTGCTTTTTAAATTTTTTATTTTCTTGTTGTATTAGATATACAGATTTTAACTCAACTAGATGAAGAGTACTGATGAGCACTAAGTAGTACAACAGAAACTGATTCTGCAGCCTAATATTTACATCTATAAACTAGGCTTTCACTGGCTATAAAATTTCATAATCTTTTTCTTGGATTACTCTCATGGGGACCTCAGATATGAGATAAATTAAGTTCCACTGAGGAGATACATTTTTGTCATGAAAGATTATAAAAGTTTCTCGTGAACAATTTTTTAACTACCAAAAATTCTACAAATGCATATTATATTCCTTGCAGAGTAGTGGTCCTCAACCTTTTAGACACCAAGGACCAATGCTCCTATGAGAATCTAATGCCTGATGATCTGAGGTGGAGCTAAGGCAATTATGCTAGAGCTGGGGAGCAGCTGCAAATACAGATGAAGCTTCGTTCACTCACCCACCGCTCACTTGCTGTGCAGCCCAGTTCCTAATAGGCCAGAGACCAGTACCCAGTCTGCAGCCTGGGGTCGGGAACCCTGTTGAAGAGGCTAACAGATATGAGCTCACCTATTACACTCCCTTCATTTTCTCTAATTTTAACCATCTTTCAATCTATCTTTTCAAGGTAATAGACTCAACTCAGCATGTGTCCTTATCCCATCCTCCTTTGTGCCTAGCTCCAGCAGTGATCTCTTCCCTCAAACCTATTCTCAATCTTTCCTGCTATACCAGCATTTTCTCGGTTCACAAATATTCTCACAATCCTATTTTTCTCTCGACTCAATTCCCTCTCAATTTTTAAAGTCCACAATTGCTAACTTTCAAATTCTAACCTCCCATTGCTCCTTAATAACCTATTTAATTGTTCTGATTTTTTGTCAGCTATCACCTGCAAATTAGCAAAAGGATTTTTTCCAAGTTTTATACCACTTAACAGCTCTGTAGCACACACGCGCATGTGTGCACACGCAAAAAATGATACTGCCATTCCTCGAGGCTCTTTCTTCTTAGCCTTCTCTTCAAGATCTCCACTTCTTCCATAGATGATCTTATAATATCTATACCTTCAATTTCCATCTTTATGCTAATAAATCTTAAATCTATATCTCATCTCCCAACCTCTCTCCTAAGTTCACATTTTCAAATGCACGGAATGCACTTCAAGCTAGGTGTCCTGCAGGTACCATAAATTCAGCAGTTCCCAATTCATTATTTTCATCCACCAAATCTGCTTCTCCTGTCATATTCCCTGTATCAGTCAGTGACATTATCATTCTACTAGGTATACTAATCTCAGAGACATATTTGACTTCTTTCTCCTTCTAAAACTCATTATATATAAAATTTTACTAACTGCCAATTCCACCCCTCTTCTTCTCTGTTCTATTGCCCAAATTCACACCCTCATAGGCTCACGGTTAGATTTGCAATACTATTCTTACTGGTCTCTCCATAAAACCATCCTCCATACTGTTGCAAGGCTTACTTTTCTAAAAATGCAGATCTGACTATGTCACTGCTTTAAAATTATCAGTGGCTTCCCATTACTTATCAAATTCAACTTCCTTAGTAAGGGACCCTTCAGAAAGCAACCTCAACCTATTTTCCAATGTCATATTCCAGATCAAACTATTTATCACCCTTGAAATGCAGCCTGCCTCCATGATTTTTCCCTTTCTTAAATGGAATGCCAACAGGATGAAATGAGAAATGTAGGAAATCGGCATCCATGGCCTGGTGAAACCTGTTCATCTTTCAAGGCCAAATTCTTCATCTTTTTTCTAAAACCTCCAACCTAGCTAAATGACATGATTTTGTGCTTTCACAGTAATTTGTTGAAACTACTAAAAACACTCCGTGCTATGGTTAATTTCATAGTTATCTCTCCCTTTGAAAGTGTGAGCTCTTTATTATTATTTGTATTTTAGGCATATTTAAAAATTCAGTACCTAGAATAGTGCCTCACACTTAATAGATGCTCAACAAGTGCTGTAAACTAAATTTCTTTTGTGACCCCCCATTCTGTTAATAATTTCTGAACATCCTCATTTTATTGTTTTATTTTTTAACCCATCTAGATCCAATCTCAGTAGCAATCCACTCAAGAATGGTGAAAAACCTACACAGAGATAGAAATACAATTAATGAGTAGACCTGACCTCCATTCAAGAAAACTCTTGTAGAACCAAAGCAGCTTTCAAAAAACTTATCTATTTTCTGTTTAGTACTAAAGCATATCAAAGTAAAATAACTGTAGAAGCTAAAAATCCTAAGACGAAAGCAATTTTATTCAAATTTATAGACAGGCCTCACAGTGAAGCTGAATGTTTATTCTTTCCTAATGTGATTGATTTTCTTGAGGAAGGGGCATGGTTGTGGTCTCATCAGGAAAAATAAATGTTTAATTTTCTTAGCTTAACTAATATTTTTTGGCATGGTTGGTATATTCAAGTTTATATTCTCTTTTCACTTTATAGTTTTTCCTTATTCTGACTGTACCACTTCCATGATCTTTTAAACATCAGAAATGTGAAAGAAGTGTTGGGATGCAATGTGGATTAAGTGAAGCTAAAATGAATATTACTATGCTTGGTGCTTAGTAATAAACTTTACTAGCATAAAAATTATTAAGGATTTTTTAGTATTCAGATACAATTAATTACAAAATATTTTTTGAGATCTGGGTAAAGCTTATCAAATTCATCAATGAAGACTTGATCTCTCCAAAATACAAATTAAGAGAATGTTACCTAAAGTAATTGAAAAATCAAGAATTACTTATATAACAATTTATATTAAACAAAATCACCTATAGAAGATGTCATCAAGTACTTAAATATATGGTATATCAGTATAAAAATATATTAGCATAGTATTAAAATACAGTATAATTAGTATAATAGCCTAAATATAATCTTACTCTCCCAAAATATAGCTTTCATAATTTCATAAATATTGATCTTCTATTGTGTTAATTCTTGTACAAGAATTAAAAGGTGTCTACAGCCATGCCACCCTGAACGTGCCTGATCTTGTCTGATCTCGGAAGCTAAGCAGGATCGGGCCTGGTTAGTACTTGGATGGGAGACTACCTAGGAAGACCAGGTGCTGTAGGTGTTAAAAAAAAAATTAAAAGGCAATGAAAATAGATATTAAAATAGAATAATCAATTTTGGGGTTCATCAATCTTTAAAGTGAACCATTATACACTTTAATTTACATCATTTTACACTTATTATCTACTTCATTAAAATTAAAATTTAGTATTAAATAAACAGATAAGAAAATAGCATTGTTTATTGCATCTCGACAAAACTGCTGAGGAAAGCTAAATATATCAGCTAACAATAATACCTATATAATTATTTTATTCATTTATTAAAATACTATCAATGGTTTTATGAAAAGGTAATTTTTCTTTGTCACATATGGGAAGTCATCCAAAATTATATGTGTATATACATACACAACACATACATACACATGTGTATGTGTTGTTTTTCATGCATGAAAGCATCACAAGAAATTTAGATTTAAAAAAATTAAATTAAATTTAGATTTAAAAAAAGGATTCACTTTTTGGAAATGAAAATGCAAGAATAAAATGTGTCTGACTATATTCCTACATTATTTTTGTAATATTAAGAAAATATTGTTAAGAAAACATTTAATAGTTATTTTAAATGTCTACAACTTAAAATATTTTAATATTTTAACATTTAATAAACCTACATGCTTTTTCCAAGTTCCAAGTGCTTTCTCATGCTCATTTTGGAGATTAAGGAACTTTTCTTCATTTTCTCTCACCTTCTCCCTTTGCAGCTCATTATCTCTTTCAAGGGTCTGCAATAAAATTAATTATCCAAAAAATAATCAATACCACATTAATGAATTTTGATGTGTTTTATGTTGCTTGGACCTTTGCTTTTAACATGCTGGAAGTGCCATACAGATCAGTGATAATGTGCTATCTCAACAATAATTTTCATAAATTAACAGAAAGGTGCTTATAGTTTAGTTAACAGGAAATAGGGGGAGGTTATGAAAAAGAAATGGCTATAAAAGGGTATAAAAACATTGCCATTATTCAGTTTCACTGCATAAGTTTTAATGTACTGAAAAAGTAATATAAAGTACAGCACTGAAAAGTATGAAATGTAGCATAATCAGCCTAACCCTACTAAAAATTTTTAACTATGTTTTCTGTATCTGTTTATTTGAGAAATTAACTGGCTAGAAAACCTTTAAATACAATTTTAATTTTTAATTTCAAATTAACTTTTTTAGTAGAGCTTCAATATTTACTATATTAACTATTACTTCATAAATTAACATAACATAACCACCATCACACTACCTCTCTCCCCCCAAAAAACCCTTAAAGAGTAAAAATACTACTAAGTGTTTTCTAAGACATGGGGTTTTTAAGTTATTAAATAAGTGTCATTAATATTAGGTTTCTTCAATGTCCGCTGATAGTTCAAGAAAACTCCTGTAAAAAGACAAAGCTATACAAAGGATGCAGAAAGAAAGCTATACAAAGGATGCAGAAAGAAAAGGTATACAAAGGATGCAGAAAGAAAAGGTAAAGTTTTCCTCTATTGGTTCTCCAATTTCCCTCCCCAGAGGGGAGCAGTTTCTTGTGTATCCTTCCAGAAATTGCATACAAGTTTACAGAATACATTATAAGCATACAAGTTTACGGAATACATTTTTAAAATACAGATGAGACCATATTATATATACCATGTTGTTCTGTAATCTGCTTTATTAAAAAAAAAAAGAACAATGTCTTGCTTACTTTCCACATCATATATAGATCTATCTCATTTTAAAATACGTATAGCAAATTGGCTCTAAAAATAATAAAGCCTATTTGCAGCATTTGCCAATTTCATTAGTGTTAAATATTCCCACCATGGTCAATCTCAAGCTAACACTGTTTTAACAACCAGCTCACAAAATGACAACAGCTCTAACAACTAGCTCCCCTGGGTACAAGCTGTCTCCAGCACACCACTGGATCTCCCTAATCTCAGGTATCACTCAAACTCTCCAAAGTAAACCTCCAATCTTCTGCCAAGTAGGAGACAGACAGTGCCAATTTGTGCAGGGTTAGGAAGAGAATCTGGAGGTGTGATAGTTTCTTACATAGACCTTCTAGTTTTTGGCTTCAGTTGTGTGCCCTACTTCTAAAGGCACACAATGCCTACAATCCTGACCATTTCTGCATCTTTGACTTGGGTTTCTACTTTCTCTCATATCACATATACTAAGTAAATTACTCATTTTCCATCTGGTTCTCACTTTTAAAACTTTTTTATTGTTTCCTCTATTTTCTTGTCCTTGTAGATTTAGTAATGCCATTTTATTGCAATTTCAAGAGGAAATACAAGTGAATGTGTGGGTTCGATTGAATAGGTTTAACTAGAAGCCCTAACCTGGCAATATCTGAACTTAACAAAGAGTCTGAATTTATTCACTGTTAATCATTCATTAGTTTCATAAAATTTAATGAGCTCCTACTATGTACCAGATACTCTTCTAGGCTTTTATACTACATTAGTGAAAATGTTACTGTTCTTGTGGAATTTATACTCTATCAGGAAATTATTTGGTATTACTAGCTTCTGGATTAACAAATCTAAAAACCCTCTCTGAAAAAATGGACATTGTAGAAAGTCAAAATGAAACCATCTTAATACTTTAATATACCAAAAACAAAGTAAGTTATTCTAGTTAATACTATGTTAATACTATGACTATAGAGGAATAACTATACTTACATCTGGACTAAACTATAATTAAGTCATAGTAGAAAATTTTCTCTATCATGAGAATTTAGTTTTCTGTGCTCCAAATTCTACTATTAAAAAGGGGAAGACAGATGACAGCATGATTGCAGAGCACTGAAAGCGAGTACACCATTATGAAGAGTAATTGTAGTACAGGTAGTACTAGTATGTAGTACAAGTGCAATTAGAATGCTCCTTGAGAAAACACTTGAGATATCTATGCAGTGTAATCCTTAGCAACAATTCTACATCAACATTTTGTTATAGTATATATCAGTGGTTCTCAAACACCAGTCTGCAAACAAGTACTGATTCATGACAAAATTTCATGGCAAAAAAAATGTCAATATAAGGTCATCAAATGTCTTTTCTTGTAATGGACCATACTTTTTCCTGAGATTATATCCTTAATATACTTTTAATGTTAAAATATCCTCCTTTAAGGGTGGCTTCATAGTGTAGTGGTTAGTACGTCTGCTTTATACACAGAAGGACCTGGGTTCGCGCCCCAGGTGGAACCACAGACCATAACCCGGTGCACCAGGCCCCGGGGCAGCCAGGACCCTGAGTGCGCCAGGACCGGGTGCATGCCGCAAGCATGTGAGAGGGGATGCCCCACCTTCAGAGATCCAGTTCTTAAGGAGAAACGGCAACATCCATAGGTCAGGGGTGAAAGTGGGGGCGGAGGAATTAAAGAGGGGGGAAAAAAGTTTTCTTTTATAAAATGAAAATGATGATGGTATTGTTTATTTTTTAATGTACCGTATCAAAATAAAAAGCTGACAATTCTATCCTGTTCTTACCAATACTTTGAAATTTTACTATATAAAATCTAGTTTCTCTATGTACTATCAAGGCTCAGCTAATAATGATGCTAGTTAAAGAGAGAGGCATTTGGATTATCTAAGATATTGGCCTATATAGTTAAAATATCCTGGAACCACAGTTACAGTTATCATTAACTCAATGAAAGACATGACTATATATATTTATGACTACTATAGGCCCTGTAGAATTCAGTAATACATAAACATTGGGTTTAGCATTCATGAAAGGCAATTTAAAAGTTGTGGTTTCCATATAACTGATCTAATAAAAGTGGCAGCTCTCACGAGTCTAAGAAAAATACATTAACAACGTAATGTAGAAATAGTACTGGAATAGAAACAGTACTGGAATAGACAAAGCTTTCATCCTGATTTCTCACTAATTATGAGGCCTTGAACTACATAGCTTACATTTCCTAGATCTCTAGCTCATCATGAAATGATTGGACTAGCTAATCTCTGATACTTTGATCAGAGATTAAAATTCTCTTTCAACTCCATTAAATGTATTAGGAGACAATCCTGATAACTGCTATTCATAAAGAATGTGGGTAAATTATGTTTCTGGAGAGAAGGTTCAACACATCAGAGAAATAGTTATCCATCTGTAGGGTGGGTAGAGGAGATGGGGGGAAACTTTCTTATAACTCGACTTTCAGAGAAATGCTTTTAACTAGTCTTTTATTGGAGGTGAAGAGGTTAAGAGGAGGGAGAGGTTTGACTCTTCCCTCTCCCTCTTCTAGGTCTAACTCCTATAGTTCTGGAGCAGGCAAGAGAAATAAGGCGAAACTCTACGTGACTAGTCATAGAACATTAATGGTGAGATAAATCTTGCATTGTTCAGGTCAGGTCTGGCTTCATTCAATGGTGATAGACTCACCATAATTTGTGAAACCCATTGCAAAATGAAAAAAGGCAGGAAAAAGTACTGTTAAAGATACTAAATAATAAAACTTTTTCCTTTCTTCACAGTAACTCCCTCCTCCCTATCTCTTCCAGTCAATCTGTCATGGGGCTTTTATTTTCTATTTCATGTCATGATCCCCTGGGCAGGGGGATACTTACAGGGCAAATGCAGATCCTCACAGATGCCTAAAGGCCTCACCACATGACTCAGCACAAGTATGATCTACCTGCTAGTGGGTTGTACCTCCTCCAAGTGGCTGGACTCATGTACTATGTCCCGGCTGGGGTGGGGAAGTCAGTTTCCCCATCCTATGGGCCCTCTGCCCCAACTCATGGCAGATGGGTAACCCCCAACGGATTGCAACTGCCAGGCAGAAATGTACCTCAGTATTTGGAATGGGGACTCTCACCCAGCGTAGCCACCTACTTAAAATGCCAAAGTATTGCCAACCTGGGACAGAGGATGCTGCAGAGCCCATGCACTCAGCCCAGACCCTCTCTGCTATATCTAGGCTTCCACCAGAGGTAAAGAGCAACAGTAGAACACGGGCCTATCCCCACCAGTGTGACCCAGTCATCACGGCAGTGGCAAGACAGGAGCAGGGAAGATGAGGCCAGGCAGGGCCCACCAAAAGGCAGAAGAGCCAGCAGCCAAGAACTGGTCCTGGGAGGCAGTGGGAGACAGAAGAATCCCTGATCTGAGGTTCCAAGCCTCCAATGCATTATCAGATAAATTTACCCTTCCCAAAAGATTTAATTTACAAAACATAATTTAAAGATAAAAATTAATAAAAATTTCAAGACAGTGACTCACAGGACATAAAACCTAAAGCACAAGGCCCTCTGAGTATGGGTCCCTATGCAACTGCATACATAACCATGTATACATAACCTGATTACATAACCATGAAGCTGGCTCTGGCTTCTGCTGATGGCGGTCTTCACATAGGAGGTGACTTTAGTTTCCTTGCAAAATGTCCAGCATCACCCTTTATCACCAGAATCTCTTCAGACAGGTATAGATACCTTCCAATGGCCAGTCCAGTGGAACATGTCCCCAGTCTCTTCTCTTGAGTTGGACATCACCTGGCTCAGTAGAACACAGGGAAGCTCCCCCTCTTTCACCAACCTCCATGTTCCTTCCTAGGAAGCCAAGGAACCACCAAAGTTCTCTCTTCTACATCCTTCCAGGTACATATAATATTGGACCAAGCATAATACACTGGCACAGATTACTACAAAAACTTTCCTCCTTGAAATTTCTTGACTATAACTGGGCATTAGTGCATATGTTCTTGATACACTTCCAAACTTCGAAAATGTGTCAAGTTCTTCCACATGAACTACTCTACTGGTAACACCAGAGCGGACGTTCAGGATTCTATAGCATCTCAAGTATCCATCTAAGGAACAGATGGCAGTCTCACCCTCCCTTTCTTGTACCCCAGTCTTTACAAGTGATTTTCCTGTAGACTCCTTCACTTAGCTTCATGAGGGGAAATACGTGCCCCTTCACTAGGTATGTAAGAGAAAAGCCTCTCTTATTGAACCCTTACTCTCAAAACAAAGTGACCATAACTTCTTCCTCTCCCCAATCATTTTCTTACATATCCTAGAAAGAAGATGATGGGGTGATGATGTTGAGGTAACAGGGCCAGTTCTATCATATTCTTGTAAAGAGAGATCTGCCCCCCAATTACTGGGAGCTGATTGCTCTCTTAGAATGTGGCAATACCTGTCACCTTTTATTTTCAGTTTTGGTCTTGGCTATAATTCTAAGACAAAGAAAAAAAAATCCCATTCAATCTGTTACAAATTTAAATTGAACACCTGATACAACTGAACATTTCACTAGTGACTTCAATGTTTAAAAAATATGGTCATTACTTTACACGTTGATACCAAGTTAATGAAAGAGGCCATATCCTACTCCTAAAATTCAAAGTGATCTCAGATAAAGTTGGACAGATGAGTACAACTAAACAGGTAAAACTCATTAGATGGGAATATAGTTTAAACTACACACACACACACACACACACACACACACACACACACACATATAAAACCTGATTATTTTCTCTTAGCCCCTTCAATTCTGCTTCCAGTTCAGTATTAACTTGAGTCTGTTGCTGAAGTAACTGCTGCATATGTTGGAAAGAAATGATGACATCCTTTTAAAAAAAAGTATATCAATTAAAAAATTTTTAAAATAGTAGGCATGTTTCTAAACTCAATTTTAAAATACACTTTCTAGTTTCTTATTTTTATAGTTTAATTACAACCCATAATAAAGAATATATTAATGACACATTTGATTAATTTAACATCTAAAAGAATTTATATTATATGATTTCTTACAAAGTACCATTTCCAAGAGTTCCTCAAATAATTAGTTTTTAAAATGGACCATGGATTCTGAGACACTATTGAAAAATGTGAAAAATTCAAAACTAAAACTTTTGTTGGCTTGCCCCCAAACTAGTAAATATATCACTACTAAAATATCATATTGCTAATGGGCTAGGATGTCACAGTATATATTTAGAATCAAATGGAAGAAAACCAGAAGAGGAAAAAAAGAAACAGGACAAGTTTTCTTTCATATACCTTTTTTTTAAAAAAAATAAAACAATTATAATATACATAAATTCAAATGAGTATAATATCCTATAAACATGTTCTAAGCATACATACGCTTCAATAATTATCTGCCAAATCTAAAATATCAAGGAAAAAACTGACTTATGTTTATTCTTTGTTATTTACTCATAAAATATCTTAATGTAATATTTTCTCCAGCTTTGATATAATTGACCCATACATTGTGTAAGCTTAAGGTGTACAAGGTGATGATTTGATACAAGTATACATTGCAAAATGATTAATACAACAAGGTTAATATCTCTGTCACCTCACATAATTATTGTTTTTCTTGTGTGTGGTGAGAACATTTAAGATCTACTCTCTAAGTAACTTGCAAGTATATAATATAGTATGTTAACTAAAGTCATGCTGTACATTAAATCCTTAGAACTTACACATTTTATAACTGGAAGTTTGTACCCTTTGATGAACATCTCCCCTTTTCTCCTCTGATTTTGTTCCTAATGGGAGTATATGTGAGACCTGGTTAAAAAGGTACATGTGTACCCATTCAACAAACACTGAGTGCTTACTATGTGTAGGACTTGACCTAGACATGATTCCATTTATTATTTAACTTAATTTGATTATTTCCCACATTGTATCTGGTTTTTAAAATATTTACTATCTTCCAAAATATCTTATGATTGCTTGCCTGTTTTTCTTCTTGAATACGGGTAATCTCTTCATTAATCCTCTTATTTAATTCCAATTCCTTAAAAAAATTGAATAATTTTAGGTTATGATACAAGTCAGCAAATTCTACATTCGATTCAGTGCTCAACAAATTTGGGAGTGTCATGATCTATTATTACTCCTGAGTACCAACACTAGTTTGCTGTTGAAGCAGTGACTCAAGTGAAGTGAAGATGGTATTAGATACCCAATATAGGCTGGTGCAAACTTATAAATATCATTGTTAAAAAGTACTAAATTCCTCATCTCCAAAAGCTTTTCTGGAGACACCACTGTACCATAAGATGATCTGACACTGTATTAAAGTAGAAATAAAATTATTATAGCCAGATTTTATTGTCTTAAAGTCTTGCTGATAATAGTAAAAATCTAATAACTTAAAAAGATTCATTAATACTTTTTTCTTATGTATATTAACTTGACAAAAAGGAACATTTTTGTACTATAATCCTAAAATTCTCATAACTTTTACTAAAATATTTTATAAACATGAATGCACTGAATTAAATACCATGTTGAGTCTTTCTTGAAGTTCCTGAAATTTTTGTTCTTTAATTGTTAAATTGATGTTTTCTTCTCCCATCTTATATTGACATGTGACTTTGGACTTTATCAAGTCTGAGGTTATTTCTTTTAATTCCTTAACATAAGAAATATGAAACAGAAAATTCAGTATACATATTTCATCAAAGCAAGTTACTTTTCTGATAGTTTTAAAATCCATTTTTAAACCTATCAATATAATTTACTATATTTCATATATCAAGATAATACTACCGGTCCATTAAGGTGTATTTCCCCTAGTTCCATGATGAGATAATTAGCCAAGGTGGGAATGCTATTTGCGGCTATGGAATGCTGGGTTCACCAGGCAAACACAAAAATAGAAGGCTTGATCTTTGCTCTTAAAAAGAGTATACTAAATAAATGAACTAACCAACCAGAAGTAGGGTGTTTTCATTAATTACTTATTTACCAAAAATCTTCTAAGATAAAGAGATGACAAGAGATTACCAATTCCCAAATTCGTTAGCATCCAATAAGAAAAAATTTGTGTAAGAAATAATTACGATATAATATGATGAGTGCTATATTACAGGAATGTATAAAAGCATAAAGAAGGAAATAGTTTGGTTGAGGGCATCAAGAAGGCATTACATGGAAAAGTGGTATTTGAAGTGAGTCTTTGAAGATAAATCTGCGAAGAGGACAAAAGAGGAGCACGTGTTCCAAGCAAAAAGATTCTACAGGCACAAATGTACAGAAACATGGAAGAGCATGGTATTTTTCAGG